GCAGAGTATATAATCCTACATATTCTCATTATATAGGATATAAAATCCTGTATAATGTTATTTACATAAATTAATAAGTTACTCGTAAAATTAATATTAAATGTATAGGTTCTTGTTTTATAAAATTGTAGGTAAATATTCAAGCTAAAGAACCTGAGTTGGAAGTCAATTGTTCAATTGTTTATCATTCTCATAACACAATACAAACGTTTCGACCTTTGGTTTAGGTCTTTTTCAATGTAATAACATTTAAAAAACGTCATTATTCGCAAATACAATATTCATTATAACAAGAGTTTTTTTTATTTAATAATTGAGCGGTGTAAACTTATTATCTGACTATATTCTCATTCGGGCATGGCAGGAAATTGAATTATATAAGATTTGAACACATATGAAATTAGAAGTTAAATTAATAAATTAAAAATTAGATAAAAGAGAAAAATTAATTAACATACCATATCGATGGTGTTGTGTGTCAAAAGACTACAACGAGATATTTTAATTTAGCAACGCTATTGTTTAAAGAATTAGCAAATAAAACTTTCAATTCGAAACACGTTCTTAGAAAGACGAATAAGGTATTTAAAATTAACAAAGATATTGACCAATGCTATTCTTTAAACAAGTAATTAAACGCTGAGGCGTTAACCGTATGAGGAAACGATCGGCGGATTGCCTCACAAACAAGCGAAGCAGATCAGCATTCAAGGAAAAGCAGACGTTGCTAACCTAGATACTGATCTGTATAAAAGAAGGTGACTCGATTGTCACCACGGGTTTTTTAAGTTTGATCTAAGCACGAGCTGCACGTCGGTATCGCGAACTCCGAGTTTGTATTTTACGCGATCGTAGCGACTGTGAGGAAGCCGTTAAATAAAGTGTACGCGAGTGCTAAGTGAATAAAGATATTTTATTTCTCATTGAACATCGTTCAATAATTATCTCCCTTGAATCAACCCCCTTGGCCCTACACGACGGATCCCGAATCCTGCGTTGGCCCGCGACGAGATCTTTGAGTCACGGGCACGGCGTAACAATGGTCAATGATTAAAGTTACTTGAGTTATAAGACGGAAACGATTGCATCACGAAAGACTTTTTCCTGTTCCGAGACGCATGAGAAAGTTTTTTCTACAATTTGATGTTATTATATTATTCCTAATTTCATATGAGAATAATAAACAATTGAGCAATTGACTTCCAGCTCAGGTTCTTTAGCTTGAAAAGTTACTCTTAATTGTTAACTAATTAACTAGTAATTTATTAGTTATTATTATATATATATATATATATATATATATATAATAA